CCAGTCTCATTTCTATTTACTTTTCAAATCTCTTTCTCTCTCTCTAAAGCACTTTCCCTGGAAGAAGCACAAAGTACAACTAAGCTGAGAAAAGATAAACAAGTGGAGAGTGCCAGCTAGAAAATATATGTAGCCATGAATCATTTGCAGGACCATTTGTAAGAAACCACACTGATTTCCAAGTCTGATATAGGTTTGATTTTCTTTCTAATGATGTTCCTTTCTTTATAATGAGCACCAAAATTGGGACTCTAACCACAGAGGGATTGTTTACCCACTGTTACATGTGCAATCACACAACCCACTGATATGAATGAGGCTTTTTATTCTATCCACATTTTTTTGCTGGCCTGCTTGGCTTGCCTCCAGTTTAGATCCACACCTATGAAACATCGAGGAACATTTGTCACAGTGAAGCTCATCTTTAGTTTCTATCTCTGGGAAAACTTTGCCAGTGAGCCAGGCAACGCTCTGCAAAACAGAGCACATAAAGCAAAACAGAAGAAAATATGCAAAGACCCTTCCCTCCCACCCGCTACCCCTCATGCTCACATTTTGTGGTTCACAGCTTCAAAATTAATTGATGCAATGGCCCAGAGTCTCTACTCAGTTAAACCAGTGAAAATCAGAATAACTCCCTGAAAGTTGATGGAATAGCCAAGATCAGAAGCCGGCCTGATAGATTTTACAATTTAAGCCATACCTTTCAGTAAAAGCAATCACCTGTTCTGACAGCTAGCCTTGGTTATAATAAACAGTCCCCTTCCAGGATCAGAATTTGTTACTTTGACATTTTATTCACCTGGTCATCTAATCCACGCTTTTCTTTGTATTAGTGGTTGCTTTCAACTAACCATCAAGTATCAAAACATTTTTACAATAAAGAGCTTTTCTCCTTACTAAATTCCCCCAACATAGTTTTAAATAAAACAATCAGCTTATACATAAGAACCACAACCGCACAAGGAGCTTAAGCTACAAGTAACTCAGTGCCTGAGGCCTCTCACACGTTGGACCATCGTAAATTTAAAGTGAAAATCCCCACAGACTTTGTTTTGCATTAGATGTTGCATAAAACCTACTTGAGAAGCCAGATTAGTAAGGAACTTTGTTGGTGTTGTCATATTTAAACAAAGAAAATAAAAATGGGATTAAAACATCTTTTGGAGTCTCACCATAACTTTGTGTAAATAGGCCTAGAATGCCTAAAAGTCCATTTATAATGATGATTTTGTTCCCAACAAACCATAAAGCGTAAATCAACCTCGCAAAAGTCTATTTGCCCATTCCATTTCTAGGGCAGCTGGCTTCAGATTTTTGTTCATTTTGATCATTGTCATCATTTGTCACCTGGCAATTAAATTTTGTGCCCAGGCTGGTAAAATTACGTGCAAGGTTGGTATAATATCATGTGCGTTCATCACTGTTGTAGTTCTAAGAGGCCAAATCTTGAAAGAACCTTGCTGAGTTGTTATGCAGGCAAATCAATAGGTGTTTACCTGAATCAAGACTGAACAAAAACTGGATAAGGCCTCAGGATTTGGCCCAAGGGGAGTTTTAACAGAATAAGGACTGAATAAAAACAGAGGAGCCAGCTCAGATCTCAGTCATACTGGTACAACTCCGGAGTATCTCCATTGACTTCAAAGAGTTAGTCTGAATTTATACCGGTGAAACTGGGGTTAGAACCTGGCTCTGGGTTAAAAACTTCAGGATTTGGCCCAATAAATATGGGCCACATTCTGATAATCTCATTCATAATGAACCGTGCCTTACTCCACAAGTAATCCCACTGAAAAAAATGAGATTACTTGTAGAATAAGGTGTAAGGATGGCAGACTCCAGCCCTAAGTAGCCTTATTATAACAAAGTCAGAGGATTTGAGAAGCAAAAGGAGAGAGTAGTGACAGAACTTTATTACCTGCAGGTCACATCTGCTCACTTTTTCCCTTTGATAGACTGGCTGATGGTCAGCAAATAGCCTCACATTTAAAATGCAACATAGATTTTGAAGTGTAAAAATAAGCAACCAATTATTTTAAAGGATTCCTGTTCCCCAAGGTAGCCAGTCACCTGGCTTTTTACTCTACTTAGAATCTATTTGCTCACACACACAAACAAGAGCCTCACAGACGTCACCTTTCCTGAGTCTGGGCAGAATGATCAGTAGTGTAGATAGTACTATAAAGGTGAAAAAAGCTAAAATATACAGGCAGCTAGCTGAACATATCTTCAACTGTGCTGCTTTTAAAAGAGATGAAAAAAATAAAATAAGCCAGACATAAACTGCCTCTGGAAACGGTGAGTGATATGTTTTTTGTTTTTTTTTTTTTACTCCTCTAAAAGCATGTTGTGAAAAGTGCATCTTCAGCTATCAATCAAATACATAAGACATTCCAAAGGGCTATGTCCCATTGGCCCTCCAACTCTGATCTAAGAGACATATAGGTATGAAGAGGGCTCATTCTGCCAGACTGTGCTATGCAGATGGGTTGCTGTAGGAACATAACTAATCTTCAGGAAAGATAGGGACGTACACTGGGATGGGTCAGGTCCCCTCAACGCCGAACATCCTACTTATGAGAGACACAAATGAGCGTACCACCAGAGGATGCAAGATGCTGGCGCCTTTACTAGGCGTGGCAGGACATGGATCACAATACTTTCACCCTAAGCACAGCCACATGGCACTGGGTTACTATACCAGAGGCAGAGCTACCAAAATAGGAAGCAGAGAATGGGGCAAAATCTGGTTTAACTGAACTTCGGTTTTGATCTACCATCTTACATACCCAAAGATCTTTGCCTTACAGCCAGATCCTGCAACTCATGCGAGTAGAGCTTACATGGCAGTCAGTGAGACTATTCTGGTGAGTAAAGGCTACTTGCATGTTAGGGCTGAAGGATCAAGCCTCAGGTCTGTAATCTTTCCTGCTGCGTTTAACTGTTTTAGACTAAGTGTGAATTTTGCCCATGTACTAAATGCACCAAACGTACTAGGCTAAAATACTTGATCTACTTTTAATCATTTGTAGTTTGGAGAAAATGGTGTGAAAAAAATGTCACATTTTATTTTTGATTACCGTGTATTTTTTCCCATATTGTGCAGCACCCTAGATATTTTGGTGGAGAGAAACTTCTTTGGCCTACTATTAACCTGTCCCAAGGAATGTTTTTAGGTCGCACTCTTAGCACGTATAATCTCGCACCATTGCTTTATTCAAAGTTTAGCGTAGTCCTGACCAATAGCGGTTTTGAAACTGTGGGCGGGGGCGCAGGATAATCTGCAGACTATTTGGTAGCATTCCACGGGGAGCTGCCTGGTCACGTGGTGTTGATTCCTGCTGTGTATTTACAGCCACTAAATTGTGTTTTAAAAAGCTAACAATGCATTTCATACTTTCTTACTGTCACTTTTCCTCATAAGCAATTGCTGTTGTTGCCCCAGGGATTTTATATGATTGCAAATGGGGGAAGGGGGGAGATGTCCGCAGGCAGACAAATAATCTCTTTATTAAGACGTCCACACTGTCAAAAAAAGTTTGAGAATTCCTGCCATGCAGTATAAAATGGCTCAGGACATCTCTACTAAGGAATCTCTAGGAAGTCATTGCTCTCTAACCATCTGCCCCTTAAAACTGCTCCTGTGTAATGAATGTCAACTTTGCTTTTTTAGTTTTAAGTCTTGGAAGTGACTGTTAAACCCTAATAGGATTTAATGCAATGGAGATCTTTTCCTATAATTTTCCTCTGGGTGTTCTTTGAGTCATTATCCATTTATAGATAGTGGTGGAGTAATTAAACAGATCCAGGCATCTTTCAAATGTTGAAGGGTATTTTTAATTAAGGAAAAAGAAAAGGAGTACTTGTGGCACCTTAGAGAGGAACAAGTCCTCCTTTTCTTTTTGTGGATACAGACTAACACGGCTGCTACTCTGAAACCTTTAATTAAGGAGAAGTTAAGGTGAGACTTTGATTATACACAATCCTTCTAGCACAGATAAAGCCATGACATTCAAAGTTTTACCCGATATATAAAATATTCTCTCTGACTCTGCAGGGAAGCCTTCAGGCCATGGCCCCAGACCTGACATTTCTCTTTTAAAAAGTCCTAGGCCAAGCTGCAAACCACAAAATCAACAAAAGTACCACTTGCCAATCCAGAGACAAATCAAAGAGTTATCCAGTATGCGTGGGGATATTCTGATATAACTCAAATGCAACATCTGAGCATCTAGGTTTTTAAATGTTCACAGTGTCATTAAACAAAGTTGATATGTATGTATCAGGGCCACACCTCAAAAACCAAGTAAAGAAACCGTAAATAATTAGCACTAAGAACATTGCTGCCACCTTCAAAATTGCATCTGGCCCCAAATCCAGTGAATGAGAACCTGAACTAGACTGAGTTAAGCTGCGCTCCTTTTCCAGACCTTTTTCAAGGTATCACCCTTATGTCCATGCAGTAAAACAAAGTCTTTTCATAGCGTGGCTCTGGGCCTGTCTGTGTATTGTGTCTGTGCATAGTGGGCTGTGAGTTATGTCTGTCTTTTGGTGCCTCGTCTGCGTGGGCGTTGGTGTGGGCATGTGTGGCTGTTTGTGTTTGTGGCCCTGAGTTCTGCGGCCTTGCATGTGTGCGCTGTGTCTGTGCCCGTCTCTGGGTGTGCCTTTGTGTTTCTCCAGGTGAGCAGCTGTGTATGGGGCAGTCCCTTGGCGGGCACACTGGCCTGTGGCGGCTAGTGTGTGTCTCCGCCTTTCCCCTGCCTGCACAAAGCTTCCAAGGCAGAGCAGCTCCAGCTCAGACCCTTCGCCCCAGGCTCACAGCCCAAGAGAAAATCCGCACCACCCTTCTCCAAAGAGCAAACCCAGCTTACCGGGGAGCAGCGAGGAGCGCTGGGGGGGGGGGGGGTCAGGGACACACACACACACAGGACTCCAGCCCCAGCGCCTGGCTGGGAAGTTGTCTCCCCCCCCACGGCCCCCCCCCCAGGCTCGCTCACCTGCTCGGGCCCCTGGAAGCAGATCCTGCAGAGCGGGGTCCTCATGCCGCTGTCCAGGCTGCTGCCCAGCGAGTACCTGTCCTCCGCCTTCCCTTTGCAGAAGTCCTCCGAGGACGCGCTGCTCATGGTGGACGTGGGGGGCTCGCCGGCCGGGCTGCTCCCCTCCTCCTCGGGCGGGCTGGCCGGGCCGCCCCCGCCGGCGGCCGGCGCCCTCCAGGCTCCCCCTCGGCCCCCCGGCAGCGCGGGCAGGGGGCTGCGGCCGGCCGCCTGCGCGCCGGGGCGGGGGGCTCCGCTGTTCATGGGGAGCGGGGGCGAGGGCGGAGGGGGCGCGGGGGGTCTCCGGAGCAGGAAGACTTTCAGGTCATTGAACAGCCTGCGGCAGCGGCACTTGAGGAGGCTCGGGTGGCGCGACATCTGGCTCGGGCTCCGCAATCCGCAGCGGCGGCCCCCGAAGCCGAGCACGCCGGCTGGTGTGAACATGAGCCGTCCCCGTCCGGGCAGGGACGGGCGGGAAAGAGGAGCCAGCCGGGGGGAGCCCAGGAGCCAGGGGGGCTGCTTGGCTGGTGTCTCCCTTCCCGCTCCCCACCCCAAAATGTTGGGTCGTTTTTCTTTCTTTAAAAACAATAATTATTATTAATAATAATAAAAAAAAATGGATCTGGAGGAAGAGCTGGTTAAAATTCACCGCAACCCGCTGATCATTAATAAGGATAAAAAATTATCTCTGCCCCTCCCCTCCCCCCGCCTTTTTTTTTGTTTTTAACTGGACAAATTCCACAAGTTTGTTTCGAAATAATCCGGTGTTAGAAGTAAACCCTCCGCGGGGGCCGGGGGGGGGGGTTCAGAGAAACGCGGGGGCTCCTGGAAAGTCTTAACTCCTGCACCTGTAACGAACGGGGTCGGGTCTCTCCAGCGGCTGTGGAGAAAGGAGGGAAATATGGTTCTTGCAACAGTATTTGGCATGTCAAGGATTTCCTTTTGCTTCTGACTGTTAGCAGCAGAGTTATTTGAAATGGTACAAGAGGATGTGGCATCAGACGGGAGACACAGCCGGCTAATAAAATGCAAAACTGGGTTTTGTTCTTCTCGTGATCAAAACTGCCTTCGCTGACAAAAGGTCCTTCACATTATTTGGGGGGGACGGGGGTGAAAACACCCTACGTCTGAAACACTGTCCTCACCTGCTCATTCAAATGTTGCTGTTGTTTTCAAAATGTTTCATGATAAATATTAAAAGTCCTGCGAGACACGATTAGCATCCAATGAGTTTATCCCCCAAAGCATTTGCTTGTGTTTTATTTTACCTCCGCCACTCCAGCAGCTGTCTGGACCGCACTCACAAATATGGCAATTGGCGCGGGAGAGGGGAGCTTAGTACTTGCCCAGCTGTTACTCCCCTGGACTAAAAACCCCGTAGAAATCGGATCTAGTCTTTGCATGTAATTGACCAGGCAAAGGTGGATCTTACATGGTCACGTCTCCTTTCCCCTTTCACCAAACAGGGACGTCATCAAACGCATTGGCAGCCGGCACAGCCTGCATGGAGGATGGCAGGGACGATTCTCCCTGCAACTGCAGGAATCTCCTTTGACTGTGCAGGGCAAGGCTCCTTCCTTTTCCCCGCCACCAAGCCCAGCTTCATTTCCCTCCCCTTCTCTCCTCCTCCTCCGGCTGTTGTCCTCTCTCTCACTGGCATTGACATTCAACCATGGCAAGTCTCTCTGGCAAAAAAAAAAAAATTCTCCTCCCCGTCTAAGAACCTCTGATGAAACACAATGCGCCAGACACACGGGGACGCATGGGTTATTTTGCCTGCAGCTCCTACCGTGTTGGCAGCAGCGAACTGCCTCTCTCATCAGCCTCCTCTCAGCTCTCCCATCCGGCTTGCAGTGATGATGCTGCTGTTGCTACCTCCCTTGGATGCAATGGGGAAGGAGGCGTGTGTGCAGGGCAAATGGGGGCTCTGAGGAGGGGAGGGGGGCGTAACGTGGGTCTCTCTCCTCCCCTCCCCCCTGGGGGGGAAAATTAAGAAAAAAGGAAAGAGGAAGGGGGGAGTAAAGGCAAGAATTCAGGCTGCCCCAGCCTTTGGCTCCCCCCGCCTAGGTTGCCGACCGCTTTCAGTAGACGATTTGGGAAGAAAAAGAGGCGAAAAGATGTTGGTTGGGTGGAAAGTGTGTCTGGGAACCCAACAGCTCGTGGAGCAGGAGGAGGAGGAGGAGGAGAAGGAGGAGGAGAAAAGGGGCTGGCCAGTGCTGCGGCACTTTCAGCACCACGAGCCTCTGGACAGCTCCCTCCCAGGCCGGGCACGTCAGGCAGCTGGGGGACTGACGCAACCAGCCCAGGGAAGGGAGAGGGAGGAGAGAGACACACAGGGACTGTGCTGCGGGGGGCGCGGAGCGGGGGGGGGGGGTGCAAACCGCCTATTGCGTTGGCCTCCGAGCTGCACACTGATAAATTATTCGTTCCTGGAGGTATGATGTTGTTATGGTGGGGTTAGCGTTTGCATACAGCCTGTCTGTGAACCTGTCTCGGTTGGGTGTTTTCATGCCGCCTGTGTGTGTGTGTGTGTAAATGTCTGTGTGTGGGGATGTCTGCGTGGGGGTGTACAAATGTGTGTGGCTGAACGTCGGGGGGGGGGTCTGAACGTCTGTGTGAATGCCTGTGTATGAGTGTGTGGGTGGCTGTGTGGATGTGTACAAATGTATGTGTGTATGAACAGCCGTGTGTGTATGCATGCCTGTGTGCATATGGGTGTGAGGGTCTGTGTGTCTGTGTATGAAACGTGTGGGTATGAATGTCTGTGTGCGTAAGCGTACGACCGTCTGCGTGTATATATGAATGTCTCTGGGTATATGTACGAACACCTGTGCGTGCATGAATGTCTGCGTGTGGATGTGTGTGGATGTATGAATGTGTGGGTGTCTGTGTGAATGTGGGTACAAATGTGTGTGTGTGTGAATGTCTGTCTGTCTATGTGTGTGTGTGTGTCTGAATGAATGTGTGTGTGCATGAATGTATCTCTGTGTGAATGTCTGTGTATATGTCTATCAGTGCCTAGGTATCTGTGCTTCCAAGGGAATGTGTGTGTGCATGAATGTATCTCTGCGTGTCTATCTGTGCCTATGTTTTATGTGTGTCTGCATTTATATGTCTGTGTGTACTTGTGTCTGTATATACCTAGATCCCAAGTGACAGCATTTTAAACTCTGGCTTTCATGAACCCTGCAAAAAACAAAACAAAAACAACTAGTGACACAAGTATGATCACCTTTCAGAAACCAGGAACTACAGAATTAATTCCTTCTAAACAGGAATGAATGAAGACAGTGTAGAATCAGAGCGTTATTAAATAACTAGAAGACCATGTGCCTCAAGGTGTGAAGAAATCCATCTTGTCTGGTCTAGTTTTACTTCCGACTAGTATTTCATTCTGTGATGGGACCTATGAAACAATGAGCGGAAACTTTCAGGTGCAGTTGAAGTCAAGATGTATATTATCTGTGACAGATTTATTCTGTAGCAGTTATTTACTTTAGAGAATTTCAAGATGAAAAAATTCCACTGATGAACTTTTCCCTAGCAGATTAATTAGTTGCAGAGGATTTCATGGTTTACCAGGTATGATCATCAATATTTTTAATTTCATGCCAGGAGGGTTTGCTCATTAATAAATTTATTCTTTTCAAGTGTGTTGTTATTTAAGTATCCTTTACTATGAAGCACAGATTCTGGTGCAGAGTAAATACATTTGAACTAATCATTCTATCAGGTATTTGCTGAAGATAATTGACAACACGGGCAATACACAGGGTAGCTTTGTAGTCCCTGCTTCATCTGCTTTGAAAACTCTGGATAAGGTTGCTGTGCCCACTCATCAGCTGGCTTGACAGCAATAGACACTGAAGTCCATTAGCTATCCACCTTCCAAGTGTGTCAATTACATCAGCAGTGATCATTGTAAGCCATGTTCTCCCACCAATGGGCCTCCACCTAGATATGGAGAGACCACCTATAAAGAGGAGAGGAAAGGCAGCAATCCTTTTAGATTCAGTCTTTGTCTTCACTGCTGAAGCCATGAACAAAGGTGCCAGTTTTGATGTGGACAAGAAGGATCAAATTCTTGCATGATTTACAGATATACAATCTTCACAATCCCATTGCAGTCAATGCACTGACTCATTTCAGAGGCCACTGAGCAGCTGTTGATGTAGTCATCAATGACTTTTGATGACTACAGATGATGGCTGGATTTGAACCAGTGTCTGGCAGTTTTGATATCTCCGCCCCCTCCCCCCGCCCAATTTGGTTCCTCTACCTACTGTGACAGGGTTGGGCCGGATGGCTACAGGAGAGTAATAGAAGGCAAATATATTAGCCCCAGGTTAAGTAGGTCCCTTTTCCCTGGGTAAGGTAACAGGGAAGGTTCCAGAACAATAAGGAACCTTCTGGAGACAATTAAAACAGACAGGCTGATTAGAACACCTGCAGCCAATCAAGAAGCTGCTAGAATCAATTAAGGCAGGCTAATCAGGGCACCTGGGTTTAAAAAAGAGCTCACTTCAGTTTGTGGTGCGCGTGTAAGGAGCTGGGAGCAAGAGGTGCTAGGAGCTGAGAGTGAGAACGTGGACTGTTGGAGGACTGAGGAGTACAAGCATTATCAGACACCAGGAGGAAGGTCCTGTGGTGAGGATAAAGAAGGTGTTGGGAGGAGGCCATGGGGAAGTAGCCCAGGGAGTTGTAACTGTCACACAGCTGTTCCAGGAGGCACTCTAGACAGCTGCATTCCACAGGGCCCTGGGCTGGAACCTGGAGTAGAGGGTGGGCCCAGGTTCCCCCCAAACCTCCCAACTCCTGGTCAGACACAGGAGGAGTTGACCTAGACTGTGAGTTCACGAAAACAGCCAAACTGAGGGCTGCCGTGAAGCTCCAAGGTGAGCAAATCCGCCAATAAGTGCAAGACCCACCAAGGTAGAGGAGGAACTTTGTCACACTACCCAACAAGGTATCATCGAACCAAAAAAGAAGGGAAAAAATGACTACTTTATTGTGATTTAAAGGCTTGTGAAACCTTTGGTAATCCTAGGCAGATCCTCTAGCCACTCCTTGCATTAAAATCCCGCCATCAACAGGGTTTCAATACCTACAACTGATAGGAAAAGAATACCAACGTCACTCAAAGGTTATACTGGGTCCTGGAGAGGGTTCTGAGATTGCCTTCTTAATAAGTATAATAAATGAGTAAATGGTAGCACCACAATGCGTAGAAGATCCGATAGTGTTATCTAATTAAGAATAGAGCAAAACCGATTATTCACCACAGCAAAATGAAAACAGCAGATGCAATTAATTTACAGCAAATAAATGACACATCAAAATGCTGTAAAGTTAAAGCATTCATCACTGTGGTCTGCCATGCCTTTCAAAAGCGAGTCTTTTACAACAGAACAAATTGCCCTTCTAGGACCTCCAAAAGTAGATTAAGGCTTCTGTGAATTTCAAATCCTCCTATTCTATTAGGGTCATTGGATAAAAATAATGTAAAGAGCTTTTTAGAGACTTTCCGAGCTCCAGACGGACTGGTGAGAGGTTGGCTTCTCCAGAATGACTCTCCATCTCCTTCCCTTTACTGCCCTATTCAATTGTTTTAATGCCACCAATATTTTCAGAATGCCTCCACCAATAATAGAATTGAAACAAACCCAACCACCTTGTAATAATAATGTGGCTATCATCTTTTTCCCTCCTCAGGTTTTTCCAGAGGGAGCACTTATGGGCAGTCCTTTATATTATATTGTGCATTTTAATGTACGGGCTAGGCAGCTGGAGCACAGGTCCGCTGCCCATAGATATTTTTATAAACGTGAGGAAATAAATAAAACCATAATAGATCTGAGGCTCTCGGAATGCTTTACAAAGACAGACATGTGTTACTGTCACTGGTTTACAAATGGGGAGAAAAGGGGCTGTAACAGGGTATACTGGCCCTTGAAGAATAAAGGGGACCAGAAGACCCCATTTCAGGTGTTGGAATGAACAAAGGCCTAGAAAATGGCCTTGTAGCAGAAAAGAGGAAGTGGCCCAGGTAATTAGGAGTTGGATGAGGTGGGGGGGGGGAAATCCAAGTCACTGTTTCTTTAAGGCCCGGGGTCAGGAGCATTGTTGTGTAGGGTGGAGTGGGGCTCCCATCTCTTCCAGCCAATGGGGAGGAGCTCTCTGGAGGAGGGCAGTATATAGGCTGTTTTCTGTCTCAGAACAAGGGAGACTCTGAAGGAGAAGAAAGCCAGGGCCAGAGCTCCAGTCAGAAAGGTCTGGCAGCTTCAGGTGCAATACACTGACAGAGGAAGAGGTCTGGGTGTGGCAAAAGAACCAAAGCTAACTATGAACTGTTGAGTTATGATTTAGGGCTTTGTGTTGGGGCCTTTTTGAGGACTGTTTGGATTATTTTTGAGTAAGGACTCTAAGGACTGTGTGAACTTTATTTGATACTAAACCAGTCCTAGAAAGGGTGCTGTGAGCGACAACAGAGACTGTCTGGCATGCTTATGAGGGGGCTTATGGGGTGCCTGCAAGGCAACATCTGACCGCGAAAGGGTGCTCAGTAAGTGGCCACCCTGCTACAGAGGTTAAGACCAACAGTTTCAAACACTGTTTCAGTTCCTAAATATGGATTTAGTGGCCTAACTTAGGATACTCTTTGATAGCTGTTTTCAACTACCTGAAAGGGGGTTCCAAAGAGGATGGCTCTAGACTGTTCTCAATGGTAGCAGATGACAGAACGAGGAGTAATGGTCTCAAGTTACATTGGGGGAGGTTTAGATTGGATATTAGGAAAAACTTTTTCACTATGAGGGTGGTGAAACACTGGAATGCGTTACCTAGGGAGGTGGTAGAATCTCCTTCCTTAGAGGTTTTTAAGGTCAGGCTTGACAAAGCCCTGGCTGGGATGATTTAACTGGGAATTGGTCCTGCTTTGAGCAGGGGGTTGGACTAGATGACCTTCTGGGATCCCTTCCAACCCTTATATTCTATGATTCTATGATACTCAGATTTGAAACTGGTGGGCTAAATTACTTCCAAAAGGTAAAAAGAAAAGGAGTACTTGTGGCAGCTTAGAGACTAACCAATTTATTTGAGCATAAGCTTTCATGAGCTACAGCTCACTTCATCGGATGCATACTGTGGAAAATACAGAAGATGTTTTTATACACACAGACCATGAAAAAATGGGTGTTTATCACTACAAAAGGTTTTCTCTCCCCCCACCCCACTCTCCTGCTGGTAACAGCTTATCTAAAGTGGTCACTCTCCTTACAATGACAGGTTTCAGAGTAACAGCCATGTTAGTCTGTGTTCACAAAAAGAAAAGGAGGACTTGCTGCATCCTAGAGACCAACCAATCCATTTGAGCATAAGCCTTCGTGAGCTCCGATGAAGTGAGCTGTAGCTCACGAAAGCTTATGCTCAAATAAATTGGTTAGTCTCCAAGGTGCCACAAGTACTCCCTTTCTCCTTACAATGTGTATGATAATCAAGGTGGGCCATTTCCAGCACAAATCCAGGTTTTCTCCCCACCCCACCACCCCCAAAAGGGAGTATCATAGAATCATAGAATATCAGGGTTGGAAGGGAGCTCAGTAGGTCATCTAGTCCAACTCCCTGCTCAAAAGCAGGACCCATCCCCAATTAAATCATCCCAGCCAGGGCTTTGTCAAGCCTGACCTTAAAAACTTCTAAGGAAGGAGATTCCACCACCTCCCTAGGCAACGCATTCCAGTGTTTCACCACCCTCCTAGTGAAAAAGTTTTTCCTAATATCCAACCTAAACCTCCCCCACTGCAACTTGAGACCATTACTCCTTGTCCTGTCCTCTTCCACCACTGAGAATAGTCTAGAAACATCCTCTCTGGAACCACCTCTCAGGTAGTTGAAAGCAGCTATCAAATCCCCCCTCATTCTTCTCTTCTGCAGACTAAACAATCCCAGTTCCCTCAGCCTCTCCTCATAAGTCATGTGTTCCAGACCCCCAATCATTTTTGTTGCCCTTCGCTGGACTCTTTCCAATTTATCCACATCCTTCTTGTAGTGTGGGGCCCAAAACTGGACACAGTACTCCAGATGAGGCCTCATCGATGTCGAATAGAGGGGGACGATCACGTCCCTCGATCTGCTCGCTATGCCCCTACTTATACATCCCAAAATGCCATTGGCCTTCTTGGCAACAAGGGCACACTGCTGACTCATATCCAGCTTCTCGTCCACTGTCACCCCTAGGTCCTTTTCCTCAGAACTGCTGCCTAGCCATTCGGTCCCTAGTCTGTAGCTGTGCATTGGGTTCTTCCGTCCTAAGTGCAGGATCCTGCACTTGTCCTTGTTGAACCTCATCAGATTTCTTTTGGCCCAATCCTCCAATTTGTCTAGATCCCTCTGTATCCTATCCCTGCCCTCCAGCATATCTACCACTCCTCCCAGTTTAGTATCATCCGCAAATTTGCTGAGAGTGCAATCCACACCATCCTCCAGATCATTTATGAAGATATTGAACAAAACTGGCCCCAGGACCGACCCCTGGGGCACTCCACTTGACTACTGGGCTGCCAACTAGACATGGAGCCATTGATCACAACCCGTTGAGCCCGACAATCTAGCCAACTTTCTACCCACCTTATAGTGCATTCATCCAGCCCATACTTCCTTAACTTGCTGACAAGAATACTGTGGGAGACCGTGTCAAAAGCTTTGCTAAAGTCAAGATACAATACATCCACTGCTTTCCCTTCATCCACAGAACCAGTAATCTCATCATAGAAGGTAATTAGATTAGTCAGGCATGACCTTACCTTGGTGAATCCATGCTGACTGTTCCTGATCACTTTCCTCTCATGTAAGTGCTTCAGGATTGATTCTTTGAGGACCTGCTCCATGATTTTTCCGGGGACTGAAGTGAGGCTGACTGGCCTGTAGTTCCCAGGATCCTCCTTCTTCCCTTTTTTAAAGATTGGCACTACATTAGCCTTTTTCCAGTCATCAGGGACTTCCCCCGTTCGCCATGAGTTTTCAAAGATAATGGCCAATGGCTCTGCAATCACAGCCGCCAATTCCTTCAGCACTCTCGGATGCAACTCGTCCGGCCCCATGGACTTGTGCACGTCCAGCTTTTCTAAATAGTCCCTAACCACCTCTTTCTCCACAGAGGGCTGGCCATCTATTCCCCATGTTGTGATGCCCAGTGCAGCAGTCTGGGAGCTGACCTTGTTCGTGAAGACAGAGGCAAAAAAAGCATTGAGTACATTAGCTTTTTCCACATCCTCTCTCACTAGGTTGCCTCCCTCATTCAGTAAGGGGCCCACACTTTCCTTGGCTTTCTTCTTGTTGCCAACATACCTGAAGAAACCCTTCTTGTTACTCTTAACATCTCTCGCTAGCTGCAGCTCCAGGTGCGATTTGGCCCTCCTAATTTCATTCCTACATGCCTGAGCAATATTTTTATACTCTTCCCTGGTCATATGTCCAACCTTCCACTTCTTGTAAGCTTCTTTTTTATGCTTAAGATCCTCTAGGATTTCACCGTTAAGCCAAGCTGGTCGCCTGCCATATTTACTATTCTTTTGACACATCGGGATGGTTTGTCCCTGTAACCTCAACAGGGATTCCTTGAAATACAGCCAGCTCTCCTGGACTCCTTTCCCCTTCATGTTAGTCCCCCAGGGGATCCTACCCATCCGTTCCCTGAGGGAGTCGAAGTCTGCTTTTCTGAAGTCCAGGGTCCGTATCCTGCTGCTTACCTTTCTTCCTGTGTCAGGATCCTGAACTCAACCAACTCATGGTCACTGCCTCCCAGATTCCCATCCACTTTTGCTTCCCCCACTAATTCTTCCCGGTTTGTGAGCAGCAGGTCAAGAAAAGCTCCCCCCCTAGTTGGCTCCTCTAGCACTTGCACCAGGAAATTGTCCCCTACGCTTTCCAAAAACCTCCTGGATTGTCTATGCACCGCTGTATTGCTCTCCCAGCAGATATCAGGAAAATTAAAGGTTTCAGAGTAACAGCCGTGTTAGTCCGTATTCGCAAAAAGAAAAGGAGTACTTGTGGCACCTTAGAGACTAACCAATTTATTTGAGCATGAGCTTTCATGAGCTACAGCTCACTTCATCGGATGCATACCGTGGAAACTGCAGCAGACTTTATATACACACAGAGAATATGAAACAATACCTCCTCCCACCCCACTGTCCTGCTGGTAATAGCTGGTAATAGTGGGGTGGGAGGAGGTATTGTTTCATATTCTCTGTGTGTATATAAAGTCTGCTGCAGTTTCCACAGTATGCATCCGATGAAGTGAGCTGTAGCTCACGAAAGCTTATGCTCAAATAAATTGGTTAGTCTCTAAGGTGCCACAAGTCCTCCTTTTCTTTTTTAGGAAAATTAAAGTCACCCATGAGAACCAGGGCATGCGATCTAGTAGCTTCCGCGACCTGCCGGAAGTACTTGTGGCGCCTTGGAGACTAGCTGGTTTGTTTGAGCATAAGCTTTCATGAGCTACAGCTCACTTCATCGGAGCTCACGAAGGCTTATGCTCAAATGGATTGGTTGGTCTCTAGGGTGCCGCAAGTCCTCCTTTTCTTTTTGCAAATACAGACTAACACGGCTGTTACTCTGAAACCTTCCAAAAAGTAAAGAGTCAGTCAGTGGCAGTCAGGAATACAGCCTTGGCTCCCTCCCTGCATGTTACAGCACACAAAATCAATGGGCGCCATTCGTCCTGCAGTGAGAGGACCTGCCTTCAGGGGTCCTGATGCCTCGTCCCTTGCTCTAACCACTAGATATGTAGACTATAAGGGATTACGTGTGTTAGAGGCATAAACATGAGATTTTGGGGTCTTCAGAACTTGCTGTGCAATTAATTCTTTTTAATGAAACAGTTTGTTAGATTTTCTTCCCCCCCCCTCCCAAATTAAGCCAATATGCTGATGTGATAATCTTTCTCCCCCTTAACTATTATTGATAAGACTAATAATAATAATAATCCTTATTAGCACTATTAAGCTTTTTATCCTCTTTACAGACATACTTTGGTAAGGGGGCCTTTAGAGACCTTGAGACAATTGACTAATCTTCTGATAAGGGGGATGAGGAAGATAGCGGGGGTGCAGAGGGAACTGGTCTGCTACCATTCAATTACATGCCAGGGTCTTCAAAAACCCTGATCAGAGAACAGTGGAGCAGAGAAATTCCACGCTGCTTTGGGCCACATCCTGGATCAAGCACACAGCCTGAAGAACCATGCTGTGTGCTCAGGAGCTCTGTGGAGTTGGAGGGAATCATCTGGACTAGTAACTTGTTTTTTCAGTAGCCAAAGGCCCATCCCTTATTCTCTATCACAGTGCAAACTGGGATTAGCCTCAGCACCTTATACATTAGCAACAGCAGCCTCCCTGCAAAACCTCCCTGCAAAGGGGCCAGCCTTCGGCAGAGAAAACAGCAGGGAAGGAGAGAGAGGTTTGACCAAAATTCACAAGTAAACCCTCACTATAAGCTCTCTGTCTATTTGTACTGCACCCATCTGTATGTACCGGAGTGCTCGGTATCGAAAAGCTGTTTAAACACTGGCAGGTCAGAGACACAATTCAAATGGGAAAAAATAATAAGAGTTATTAGAATGAATGAATGAATGAATGAATGAATGAACAGCAGCAAACTGATTGAAACACAACCAATTCAAGTATGTGCGTGTGTGTGTGTGTGTGAGAGAGAGAGAGAGAGAAAGAGAGAGAGAGAGACAGAGAGAGAAAATGCTTCCTGGGCAGCTAGCATCAGACAGCCAGAAAGCAGCCATTGAAACCTCCCTTTGTGTTCTCCATCACTTAGAAAGTAAACAGTCACCTAAACCCATTTTGCCACCCACCTCCTCAGTCAATAGAAGCACAGCGCTTCCTATTCTGCTTCAGGCTCCTTAATGGTGCAGCGGCAGCTTTGATTGCCTTGTTGGCCACATCCCCCTGGCAAACCATCGCTGAAGTTTCCTTCTGCACTCTGAACAATCAGGAGCTGCTCATCAGCTAAGTACCCCTGTGAGTGCACGGCACAGCAAGGCTTCCCGTATCTCTTCCTGAATGGAGATAATATTGATATAATTAACATAAGCTTGCTGGCGAAGCCAGTGGACAGCTCCAGCCAGGGTTTATGGTGGGTTCTGTCCATGAGGCTGAACAGCTCCTGGGGGGAATGATGCTGCTAGCTTGGGGTGGCTAGAGGATGCACTGGCTCAGAGAACCCTAACAATAACCTGTCTATTGATTGAAGTGATCTTCTCAAAAGTCCCTTCAGTTAATTTCTAATGCTGTTTGCATGGTGCCTGTGTTGCATTTAGACTGTGGTGAGTAAGCCATTAGCAAGTTTCCATGGATTCCTTGGTCAGGCAAGATCATAGAATCATAGAATATCAGGGTTGGGAGGGACCTCAGGAGGTCATCTAGTCCCACCCCCTGCTCAAAGCAGGACCGATCCCCAACTAAATCATCCCAGCCAGGGCTTTGTCAAGCCGGACCTTAAACACCTCAAAGGAAGGAGATTCCACCACCTCCCTAGGGAACGCATTCCAGTGTTTCACCACCCTCCTAGTGAAAAAGTTTTTCCTAATATCCAACCTCAACCTCCCCCACCGCAAGATGGTGGCAGCTTTTGCAATTTTTCTTCCTGACGCCCCTGACACCTCCCCCGAACTCTCTCTAGTGTTCCCAAGTATGCGTTGCTCTTACTTCTGTTCCATGCTGTTAGCATTAGGTAGCACAGCCCGCTTTGGGCTGACACCGGGCACTCACTTCCTGTTTGGGCAGAGGGTAAGGGGTGTTAAAAATGTGCAAATACTTTTATCATCAAGTCCTGCAATGGATAATAACACTCTCGATCTCACTGTATTTATATAACTAACAATCCTGAAAAGAACCCAAGTTCCTTTTCCCGCTATAACCCATTTGCTATTCTCTGTACGGGTGTCCTAGGGACAACTTCCTCCCTTTCTTCTTCTTATTTAAAATTCAAAACTGCAAGCTGAGTGCATGCCACTACCAGAACCAGCATTCCAAAGCATGGAGTTTTCTGCTTTCAAGCCCTGAGCCAATATCTGCCTAGAAATTTTGAAAACGATGGGTGACTCTGGGCAGATCTGTGACTTTAATTAAGCAATCAGACATGACAGATTGTGTATTTTAGGGGGATTATAACCAACCTTGAGTAGCTTTAGAAGGCACCAGGCCAAAGGCCAAGCAGTTCTAACTACTCAAGAAGTTCAGTAATCATCTTGAAATGCAGACCCTAGAGGGGCCTGGAGTTTAGACATTAGAGAAATAACAGGCTGAGCCCTTAGGTATTTCCTGAGCATTATAGACATGGTTGTGCTGTCCTGAGTAAGGTCAAGTTTGATCCAGGGCTCTAATTGCACATACTGCATTTTTAGCCTGTTTTAGTCAGATTGTAGTGAGACAGAATGGCCTCCCCCTGAGCCTGAGCCGGAGGGACCCCTACCCTCTTCCTGGTGGGCGGAGTCAAGCCAACCCCGCCCCCACTCCAGAAGCAGAGGGGAGGGACAGGAAGTATAAAAGGAGGGCCCTTGAGCTCAGCTGGGCCAGAGCCAGCAAAGGAGACAGATGTCTCTAGCCCGCTGCAAGATTCTGGACCAGACCTTGAGCTGTGTAGCGCCTTGCCCCTGGAGCAGGAGACTGAGAGTGGAGAGGAGCTGCTGGGAATGTCATCTGCCACTTATCTGGAGGAGACTGAGGACCTGCAAACTATGGAGCTACACCAGTGGATTGGAGTAGGAAGTAGTCCGGGGAACCAGATATTAGTCAGGTTATGTGGTCGCAGTATGAGTCAGTGTGCTTTGGCAAGATCCCTGCTGACCCAGTGGCAGGATCCCCCAACACTGTTAGGGCCCTGGGCTTGGACCCAGTGGAGTAGGGGGGACTTGGGTCCCCCTGCCACCAACCCCACCCCTCAGGTGGTGGCCTAATCCCACTAGACTGGGAGGCCTGTGCCTTGTTTGTGGCTTGCCCCAGCCAGAAGCCTGCAAGCCCCTAGACTGTGTTTGCTGTCTGCCTTGGCCAGGAGGCTAGACTAAAGACTGCTTAATTACTTATTACTCTGGCCTGCTGAGGGCCAAGGGTGCTGGAACCATTTTTATAGTGGGGGTGCTGGTGATGGAAATTGTATATTTGGTGTTACTACTTCAAGCCAAGAGGTGCAGCCATACCCCTAGTTCCAGCACCACTGCTCAGGGTGTCAGAGCCTAGGCTAAAACAACGAGGAGTCCTTGTGGCACCTTAGAGACTAACCAATTTATTTGGGTATAAGCTTTTGTGGGCTAAAACCCACTTCATCAGATGCTGTGGAGTGAAAAATACAGTAAGCAGAATATATATAATAGCACATGAAAAGATGGGAGTTGCCTTACCAAGTGAGGGGGGTCAGTGCTAACAAGCCAATTCAATTAAGGTGGAAGTGGCCTATTCTCAACAGTTGACAAGAAGGGGTGAATAGCAAGGGAGGCGAAATTACTTTTGTAGTGCTAACGAGACCAATGCAGTCAAGGTGGACGTTGCCCATTTCCAACAGTTCACAAGAAGGTGTGAGTATCAGCAGATGGAAAATCACTTTTTGTAGTGACCCATCCACTCCCAGACTTTATTCAGGCCCAATTTGATGGTGCCCAGTTTGCAAATTAATTCCAGTTCTGCAGTTTCTTTTTATGGCTGAGCTAGAACAATGCTTCCTCGGCTCTTGTCCCCTAGCGCCCCTACTCTACTTGATCATCAATTTCTCCTCTTAATAGAAACAATGTGGCAAGGCCTCAGATATTAGCTAATTTCTGGGGCCAAAAGGGGCATCAATCCATTAGCAGACCACACCACCTGCTATCTAAACCCCACTCAGCAATGCCCCCTGTGTATCCTCTTGCAGAGGTTCCCCAAGGTATTTTGGGTTACCAGAATCAAGGTGGAAAATGTACACCCCGCATTCCCCCTCTGTCCACTAGTTTTCTGGAATGTGCTTATGCGCAAAGGGGAAGCATGAAATCATCCCTCTGCATTATGACACTATTATTGCACAATGGAGGGAGAAGAGCCTGGACATGGACCACTAGAATGTCTGATGCTGTTTCCCAAAAGCCTTGCAAATCCAGATACCAGGATTTCGCATCTTGGCCTGCCCAGATAACCTCCTGAGCTACGGCATCTCATTGCTGGAATGGCAAACAAACATGCACACTTTGCATAAATGCAGTAAGTGCAGAGCTGTTATTTACAAGCCAGATAATCTCGTTAGTTTCATCACAACAATAGATGAGCTCTCCAGGCTGGCAGAGGCAGGAAGCTCTGTGGGGGCAGAGCTCTCAGTCCCCGGCACTAAGAGGGAAGAGCATGTCATGTCACTCAAGTGACTTCATCTGGAGCATTAAGGGGAAAGATTGATATAATGCAGTGCATTTGAGGGTGATGGGAAGGCACGTACAATGGGGGAATCCTCAGTCTACACAAATGGGTAACATCCTCAGGGACATGTATGCTCACACGTGTTGGCTACCCATAATTCATGCAGCAGGATTG